CTTTAGATCTTACATTCCATATCTGAAAGAACCTGCTTTCAAGCTTTAAAGAATGCAAAGGAAATACTGAAGATACCGAGCTCTGTTAGACCTGTGGTCATTCTGAATACTTTTTTTTAAGCATTAGTGCTTTGAAACACTAAGAAACCTCTGAGCTAAATCTCTTTTTTACTAAAAGCTTCATATCCGAAAGAACGTTTCTTCAAAAACTGAAATATCGATCTCTACTAGACCTATGATGCTCTTGAAAACTATTTAAAAGGGTTGGATCTTTGGGAAGACTTTGAAAGTTCTAAGCTAAATAGAGCCTTTACTAAAAAGCTGCATGTCCGTAAAAAACGTGTCTTCAAGCTGCAGATAATGTAGAGGAAATACTAAAAATACGGAGCTGGTCCTGCTGAAAAAATTTTAATGAACTAATGTTTACAACCAATCTAACTTACGAGTTTTTGTGGGCCTTCAGAAAGGCATATTATCTTGAAAAACTAAAATCGATGTAATTCCCTTTTTAAACTTCAGGGAACTATTACTGGTTGTAATCAAACGAAATTGTATATATATTTAGTTTGTCAAGAAGAGTGTAAAGAAGTATACTACAAACAAGAAGCATTTAATGTAACGGCATACAAATTTGCACGAGTAATTTCCTTAGAGTATGCCAGCTTATGGCCAAAATTGGACATATCGCACCAAAACTTTTCAAGCCACTAGGACATACGCCAGCTAATATGTGAACTATCTTAACAAAATTGAGAGCGTGTGTTTTTCTTAAAATGACGCATATTTTTGCTTAGAATAAATCAATTTCTAACTTTTTTTTTTCCTTGTTTTTCAGAAAAGTTCGTGCTCAATTCAAGCTATGTTAATACGCTACAATAAATATGTATATTTGTTTAAAATTTAAATCAACGTAAATACAATGTAATCTAAAAACGTCAGATTAGCACGGAAACAAAATGTTCATATTTATTTAAATGTCTGTATATAGCAGAGATTTTGTAATCTACTACAAGCGTACAAAGCAGTTTCACCTTTAACTTGCACAAATTTTAAGGACTTAGTACGTCTAAGCTATAAAGATAAGATTTTGCGAAGGCAACGCTTAACTGGAAATATACATACAAATATTTTCAAAAATATACTATATTTATATATATATGGTACTTATATGATACATTCAAATATAGTATATTGCAAAACACTCTAATTAAGGCTGATTCATTTCGAGGTTTGCTACTACATTGAAACTTCAAATTTAATGCGGAAGATTTATTACCTTTCGAAAGAAAATTCTTTGATTTTTTTTTTTTTTTGAAATTATCTTTTTCAGGTATCTTAAATCAATAGTTTACGCCAAGCAGGCAACAACAGGGGAGCTCAAAAACACATTCATAGGCGTACTTTTGTCTAAATTCAAGCCGAAATGCTGTCAAGTCATCGAAAAATAGTTACTCTATTTGGAAAAAAAAATTTAATTGTGTTGGCTATTTGACCAACATTTCGTTCAAATCATAAATGACATAAAATTATTTGCACAACTAAAAAAAAAAAAGGTTTCTTTGAATAAGTAGGTTTAAGTGTTCTATTTCGTTTTAACATCACGTCTAGGGCCGTCCTAGGTACGAAAATTCAGTGGTTTCGGACTGGTAATTTTGTTTCTACTGAGTAGTGAAAACCCCGTCTTTTTTCTTTCTTTATTGACGTAGATGCCGTTTATCAGATTATAGCCAAGTTAACAACAGCGCGTCAGTCGTTTCTTCTTTTCGATATATGGCGCCAATTTGAGATACCAAAAGCAGCCAGATCTTTCTTCACCTGGTCTTCGTCTTCCTCTGCTTCCACCGGCGGGTACTGAATCGAAACCCTTGAAAGCTAGAGTATTCTTTTCTCTTTGACCTTTGTTCGTCGGGAAAGGACTTTACATTTCAATTGACTACTCAGTCGAAAGTAGCAATTGTTGGCAAGAGTGATTCAATGTTGGATTTCAAGGGTGAAGTCTAATTGCAGCGTCTGTTCATCAGTGGTGCGGCTGCGAGCGGGTGCCGGTCTTGAAACAAGCGACTCGCTATATAAATTTGTATACATATAGCTTGCCGAGGGAAGTTGTGCGCTAAGTTTGGTACCCGCCACATAGAAACCACTCCCAATGAAAATACTAAAGCGTTTACGAAATTTAATAAATGTGAGAAAACCAGTATTAGTGGATGTCTCAATGCTTATTTTGGAAGAAAAATCGCGAAGTGAACTCAAATTGTCATAGTAGAATTGGTTAAGCTTGGATCATCTCTTCTGGTCTCTGAAGCATGAAACTAACAAAACTGATTCCGAATTAAAATATATACTATATATTAGGTTGTCAAAAAAGTCTTGCGGAATTTTCGCTAGTTTTCGCTGAGAGCGCGTAGTTCTAGTTTTATTCGTCGCAACGGGTCATGCCATACCTTTTTGGAAAGCTCACACGTGTTTGATTGGTTGTCGTTTCTTTGAAGTCGTTCGTGAGTTATAGCGTCGCAAACATGGAGCAAAATAAAGAGAAAATACGGCATATTTTACAGTACTACGACGATAAAGACAAAAATGCATCTCAAGCCGCCAATAAAAATTTGTGCAGTTTATGGACCCGATACAGTTTCCATTTCCACCGCATAACGATGGTTTCAACGTTTTCGTTCTGGTGTAGAGGTGGTGGAAGATGGCGGAATTGTGATATCGAGCAAAAAAAACACAAAAAAAAAAAAAAAAAAAGCCATCCATAATATTAGCATAAGAAAACAATAATCGCTTATTTTGCTTGATGTGGACATTTGCCCAGCCGTTAGCGTAATAGTATCTCTATTCGGCTATTAAACCCAATTCTGGTTTTTAGCTTCGTAGAATAGATATTAACTGAAGTTTGTGCACATCATCGATGAATACTGATTTGAGGGGCACTATTGAGCCATATTTGGTAGAGATATAGACTAATATGCAAAAAGTGGGTTGCAGTTCGTCAATAGTCTACTTTACATCACATTAAGGAAAAGCGGAGAGAATTATACCAGATAGCAAAAGCCGTTAAATTTTATTCCAGCAAACAAAATTTTTAGATCTCAAGCACTGCTAAATTCATCACACACCGCTATCTCATGTGAGTATGTACTATATTTATCTAGCAGTTTTGCAAATAATAATGATAATGACATTGAGGTAGCTTCAGTTTTCAGTCTACACTATAATAATTAGTGCTATGAAGCGTTACGCTATTCTATTATCATTATAATAACTGTTGTTTTGTGAAGACTGAACATTTGTCATTGTCAAGAGCATACAAAGTGATACAAGTACATGTATTATGGTAATATACAAGTATTTTATAAATAAGGGATAACATAATGCATGGAAAATATATGAAAATAATAATGTATTATATAATAGCAACAGTTTCGCTCCTTCCTTATTCCCGTCCTAATATACGGCGCAGAAACATGGACGATGACCACCCGAAAAAAATAAGCTCTTGGAAGTGCATAGCGACTGTACAACTGAAGTGAGCTTAAGAGCTTAAAATCATACCACTTATCCGCCAAGTAACCTTCAGGTAGTATTGATCGCAGTCATTTAAAGTCTGCTAACTTTCATTTTGCATTCAGCGGAAAGTAAAAGTCACATTGACATCAAATTGCGCATAATGCCAATTAGGTAAATTACCGAGTTCGCGCAATAAAGAGTTGCCGGCAAATACCAACAGTATTGCGCCAAGCGCCTCATTATGCACACCACGAATATGTAAATATGTACATCCTGTGATTTTTATTATAAAAATGCCACTAAATTGACATTTCAATTGTCGGCTTTGTGACAGTTGCCTTTGTGTCAACGTAGTAAGTATGTACATATGTGCACAAATCTTCACCGTTGACGGGCTCATTATTACTTCATACTGATATTCGCCGACAAAGTGGAGGTCAAACTGATTATAGTAAATATAAAGTATCGAATTGATTGAGGAAAGTATTTATACAATGTTTTGAGGTCATTTTTGTAAAGGTTGGCAACCTTAACATAGACAATTATGCAATTGTTGAGTGAAGAACTGGCGACGCTAATTTAAAAGGTTAGAATTTTCTAGAAGAAATTGTATTGAAGAGATGTGAAGTGTAATTGCTTGATTGCTAGTCTCGAGACCTTTCTCAATGGATGAGCTTATTTGAAAAATAGTTATAGTAGTATTAGGTTAGCTTAAAGGGCGATGCTTAATCAGTCTTTTGTGGTATCTACAAATCCTATCTAATCAATCATAAGACCCACACAAATCAAAAAGGCTCAATGACATTATAATATCACAGGAGTGGGTTATCGACCAGCGCGTGTTAAGCCCGCTAGAGCGCAAGATGATAACGGATATGCAACTCGTTCCCATACCTATGTGAGCGGGCAAGAGTGTCTTCACTGGCTGCCTCATGGACTTTGCAATTAAAAGCGATTTTGCTGTGACGGCACCCTCTTGAGTCTGCTGATGAAGTAGCCGTGCTCATGACAGTCGAGTCTACGTAACCGGAACGGGCTCGGACTATCAAATCGGCTTTATTATGCCGCTATAACAACAGCAACAAGTAGCTTGATGTTATTTATAGCGAGAATAGACACTTCTTGACTAGATTTGCCTGAAAGTTAGCGAGTTCAAGCGCTCAGATTGCCGCTTTCCTGTCAGATTGAAGCTCCTCCTCCCTGAGCCTGTACTTCATAGTAGTACTTCACTTCTACTGTCACCTTACTAGCCGTCAACTTCTGCTTGAAAAACACCACAGTGGCCCGGTGGCTTAAATCAAAGACAGACGGAAAGCTGTTTACAGAAAACTTCCCTTCGAACCTTCCCTATTTTCTTCGAACCATTCTTGAAAAAAAAACGCTCATTGCGGCTTTTCTCGCGTGATTCCTCCCTATCCATATATGTACATGTATCCCCGTCGAAAATATTATCAAGAAATACATATTTGCTCTTAATATCTCGCTTTACTTACCACTATCACGCGGATGTCTATGCTTTGGATCGTGCATCTCTTTGAACTCCAATAAAATACCTTTTCCCTTCTCCTTTATGAGTATGTCCAATTCGTCGGTCACCTTGCCTTCAGCATTTTTTTGCGTTAAGACTTGTATATCTTCGTCGGTGGGTTGGAATTTCAAATTTTTCTGCTCAAAGTAAGCAGTCAATTGTGCATCATCATCTATTTTAAAACCCTTTGGACGATGTACGTCGACTGTATGCTCTGGCTCGAATTCGATTTGTCCCAAGCCTAGATTGACCATCAAATGCTCGAGACCCTGAAAAAAAAAATTATTTATTATTGAGAATTTTTCCATTTAAGAAGTAATTGTTTATATTTTAGGGTATAAAATATTGTTTTAAAAATAAATTTGTTAAACTAATGCCGCGATGATTGTTTATATTTCAGCTTTTTTTATTGGTTTTGGTTATAGAAATAGTTAGTTTGGGTTAGGTTAATCTGGTAGGCCAATAAGTCACGCGTAGACCACTAATGTTTCTTTGCGATACCAGATGAAGTTCAGTTGCTAGATCCCTGAGGAGTAGTCATCTGTTAGGATCCCAACACTTGACGCGAATTTTAACAGACTCCGCAGCCTCATTATCGATACTTCTTCCAGTGTATCATAGCGTGGCGACCCAGATGTTTACAGCGTAGTCTTGCCAATGTGGGATGAGTGCATAAGAGATGTTAGATTGTTTTTCTGGTGACATTTCCTGCAGTATTCTCGATCTGTATATAAATAGCAGACGGAGTATGTTTGTGCTATTGAAAGGCATCTAGAGTGTGTATACTCATTTTACAAGAAGTATGCTCTGAGAACAACACTTTGTCAGTCTCCATCTTAAGATGAACTCAGATATGAACTTTTTAAAAGAGTTGTAATTTATATTTGAAGTCTGTCAGCCTTAGATCGAGCATTTTCAATACTCTTATACGACTTTACGGATGTCTTTTGTCGTCCCGATGCCGGATTGTCTCTTAAGATTCTACAAAGATTCATTTTAAGGTCTCTGGTTCTCACTGGACTGAGAGTCTGCCGTAGTAAAGGCACTGTAATGCTTGTAATCCATCCATCTTGCCGTCTGGATGTCGAATTGGCTCTTAAGATCTTACAAAGATTCATTTGAAAGTATCTGCTTCTCCCTGGGCTCAGTCACTGTCTTACTAAAGACACTGCAGCACGAACAAATCGCTTTAGAAGGTCATATATCTCTTAATTATGAAATTTTTAAAACTCCTCTATCTCCATTCTCCACAATCTTTACAATAACCAGCTAATTACTTCGATATTGTTCAAGGCCTAATGGCCCAATTGCCAAATCTTGTGTTACTTTTAATTATTAGTGCATTAATTTACTAGTTTAGTGTTTTAGTTACGTCACTAAGATTTTAGTTTAGCCATTCTTTATATTTTGTTGATGACGATAAACCTCGTAAATTAATTGCTTAGTTCCACTCACTTTCAGGCATTCGAGAGCGCATGATTGTTCTCAGTTTGAAGTTTAGTCGTTAATTAGCAACAACATATGCTTGTTTTTAAGCCGTTTACGTACTCGTTGAGCTCATAATTTTTACTTCTGTTAATTATGCAACAAGCTATGCAATTTGTCGAAAAATATTTATTAGTTCAATCGGAAAATATTTGTCTGACACCAGCTTATTGTTTGGTTAGTAGTTAGTAAGATTTATAGACATTCATAAAAACTATTATTTCTTATTTGCAAGGAAGTGTCTCTAAACGGTTTTTATATATGTATGTATGTATTGATATCTGTACACTAAACCGGGTATGTTAAGTTTTACGTACGATTTTGAATATCCAGAAGGAACTGTGGCTAGCTGCGTCGATTGAGCTACTCAATCAGTTTTTGAGATGTCGCTTTAAAATTTTGCATACGTCCTATTCACGTCAAAAGGTGGTTTATTTGTCAAAAAAGCCGATATCGGACCGCTATAGCGTATAGCTGACAGACAAGCTGACAGTTCAAATCAAGTTCTAGTATGAAAAACTTTTTTATTTGACAAGATATTTTCATGAAATTCGACATATAATATTCTGCAAGGCAATGGTACATTGCGTGAAGAAATAATTCGGATTGGATCACTATATCATATAGCTGCCATACAAACTTATAGATAAGAATCTAGTCCCTGTATGGGAAACTTTTTTATTTGCAAAGATATCATCACGAAATTTTGGAGATATTATTATCAAAGACATCGCTACAATCTCCTAACTTATTGTTTAGATCGGATGACTATTGCATATATCTGCCATACAATCTTATCGACTAAAATGTAGTTAATATATAGAAAACTTTTTTATTTGAAAAGCTATCTGCACGAAAATCGGCATATTTTATTACTTAGAGCAACGCCACAATCTGTGAAAGTATTGCTCAGATCGAACGCTGAAGTAGATATAGCTGCCATACAAACTTATCGATCAAAATCAAGTTAATGTTCTTCTAATAAGCTCTTATCCAATAATAAATGCATTTGAGCAGGCTATTTTAGTGCTCGAAGTTTTAGTTTTTGCCTGTTTGTTTTCAAAATCATTACCATTACCGTTATTTGCGAAATATATATGCCGCAAGTGACGCAAATACAGTCACAATTAAATATCACCTGAAGCTTGTATGAAAATTAATTAATTTTCACCTCCCAAACTAAAGCGTCAAACAGCTTCTGCTCGGCAAATACTAAAATAAATAATAGTTAATGTTAAAATAAATAGTAAAATTCAGTTTTTAAACACATTCAGCATAACGGTGCATGTTAACGTAGTCGCTGACTAAATTGCTACTATTTTAGTGTTTAATTTTAATTTGCCAACTAGTACATACGTACATATATGTAAGTAAGTATGTGTGTTCATAAATTTTTCCATACTATGCTAAATTGGCAATGATTTGTTAGCTAAACTGCTGACTTGAATGCTAAACAGTGCAGAAAAATGAAATCACAATAAATTTGTGCTGAAATATCACGTATACGCCCCCTACACAACGACTACTACCACTTATGTATAAGTGTAGTAAGTGAAGTGTTGTAATTGTTGTAAATAAATATTACTATTTATATTAGAAATAGTAAAATAAATTAATATATAGTAAATGTTATATTTTTGAGATTTTTTTTTTAACACTTAACTCACAATATGCAATTTTAAGCTCTGCGAGTATATTTCATGCATTAAAAATGTTTATTAAAGTTCATTTTCAGTTTAGAGTTAACTTTGAAGCTTGTAAGCTTACCATTTGTCGATAGCAAGGCATATCGATAACGCATAAATAGGAGATGAAACTATGTTCAACTAACAAATAATGCAACATAGTATGTTCGTATGTTTTTTAAATAATAATAATAATAATATAGCAATAAAGCCCCTACTACAAAACGCTGCAAATTTTCATTAGTTACTGTTGGTATTTTTCGAACTAACGGCTAGCAACGCCTTGAACTGAGACTTAGTGCATGTGTTAGCTGAATATCGCAACCGCCAAACGAAGCGGTGTTAATAATAATAAACAACTATATATATACTATGTATATAAGTAAGATGTTTGTGAAAAAAATATTTGCGTTTATTGATGTTTATGTGTTTGTGTGCGCAAATTTACTAAACTATTGCTTGAATAGCTATAAAATGTAGCGAAAGGGTTTGCTAGGCATATCTAACAATTGCTACACAAAATATTGCACAATAAATAATATATACGTTTGTGCATATATATATATAGCAAAGTACATAAATAATATAGCGTTGAATGAAAGGTTTATTGGCTTTTACGCTCAATTTCGTTCATTTCGGTCACGCACGCGCTTTGAGCAATGGTCGCACGCTTATAAGCGTTACATATATTTACATATGTACATATGTATATAGTTATATGTGTATATCGTCACCTAAAATATAAAATAACGTAACATCACATGTGATAGAAACCACTCATATTGAAACAAAATTTGAGTTTAGGTTATAAAATGGTTATGTATTGGTTATCAAATGGTTATGTATTGGTTATAAAATAGTTATATTTTGATTATAAAATGGTTATGTATTGGTTATAAAATGGTTATGTATTGGTTATAAAACGGTTATAAATAGGTTATGTCTGACAGCG